AACTGAAAATTAAAAACAAAAATAAAAACTCCAGTCTAGCTAACTATAGAAAGGCTCAATGTTAACTTAAAACAAGTCCCCGGCAACGGCGCCAAAAACTTGATGCGTGTTTCCTACAATATGCAATATGTAGCAAGTATACTAGTTGCACAAGTAATATAATGATGAATAGAGTATCGTTCCCACGAGGATTGTCAGCTAAGCACTAAGTATTCTACTATTCTCAAGTTGGAGCAATCGACTTCTTTGGATAATGGGAGCAATTTTTACTAAACTGAACGATAGATTTTAAACTAAAATTTAACTAAGAATACAAGATGAAAATCAAGGATAATCAATTCAAGTAAAACGGTTAGGGTTTTGACTTTATTCGGATTTTATGGGTTAAACCTAAAAATTACACTGCATTCACATTCATCTGCATTGATTGTAAACCGAACTCACTAAGGTGTAAACATACCTTCTCAGGCTATGTTTTCCTATTCTTCCTTCTTAACTTTCCACACCCAACAAATTGAAAGTTAACAATTCCAAACTCATTAAGCATAAGAATCCGACAATGGTTTCATTAATTCTTGAATCTATCTCTAGCATCCAATACTATAATGGTGATTACCCAAGAAACCTAACATGATTCATTTCTCAATCTCATCATGTTCATCACAAAAAGCATTAAACTCAGAGCAAACACACAATCAAAGCATAATCATATGAATATAACATGATCAATAATTTAACCCATTAGAAATTCGAATTACAATCAAAACCCTAACCCAAAATGGGTTAGTTCATAGCTAAATTAACACTACAAATAATAAAAACGATAATAATCAACTTCAACATAATGAAAAGTAAGAGGGAGGACAAGAAATCTCCCCAAATGATGAAACCTTTGGTTCAAAATCCAATCTTCACCCTTCAAATCGATCAATCTCTCCAAGCTAACTCAAAAACAATGCAAAAGTTGCTAACCCTACTTCCTGGACGAGCCCCCGGGCAAAAAGGTTAAGTGTTTCTTTTATACCTCACCCCAAATTTCTAAGAAAAACACGCACAAAGTAAAACTGTACGTTTTACAAAACTGAAATTTACGACCGTCGCCGCGGCGAAGAAAGAAGCAGACTTGTTCATGTCTGGCGTACTTCACCGCGGCGAAGGACAAATCTTCGTCGGGGCGAAGCTACTTGAAAAGTTCTGAATTTACAAAACTGCCACTCTGCTTGCATCTTCACTTGATTTTTCGATTCTCGGCGCTCTCTCTTTGGAACAAGCCTCATCGTGCTTTATCCTGCTTCAGAATTCTCCTAACTTCTGAGATCCGCTAACTTCTAAGTCAAAGATTTCCAATTTTGTCCTTATTTGCTCAAAAATGTCCATTTTAACCTGAAACACAAAATGTAAAGAATTAAACAACAATTCAGGTCAAAATGCACCAAAAAGTACCTGAAATCCGAATAAAAAGACTAATGAAAGTTGTATAATCTACGGATTATCAACAAGCACTTAAAGGCAAAGTGGTATTAGTTGTCAAAACCTAAACCGCTTCAAAGAGATATTATATAACAGTTGTCCCACCTTTATCAAAATAAAGGATTAGGATGAATGAGAGCTCTCCATGCATCAAGGCAACTTGCAAAAGCACTCATTACATTGAGTTCAAAAGTATAAATAGGCACCTCTCTTCATAAATGAAGAGGCTGGATATATGTGAGCTAGACATACATTCGAGCTTCAACCATTATTTTTCTCTGTAAAAAAAGTATTACTCTATCTTTGTATGCCTCAAAGGGGATATCAGAAAATAGTCAAAGAATAATAAAATCACAATGGACGTAGGATTCGATTTAAGCATCCGAACCACTATAAAAATCTCTCTTGTCAATCTTTTATTTATGTTTCTTCAAACTTATATCATCTCAGCACCATAATCAACTCTCATAATCATTTCATGTGTAGTTTCTAAGACTTTCTTAGCAATTTGCACATGCAAAGTCATTGGTGTCAAAATCCAGCTTCAGCAATTAGCTTTACTTAAAATTAATCCATTGAATTATTTATATAGTAAACATTACACGTTATACTTATAAATCCAAAACAAATAAACATATTGAATTTATAGTGTATAATGTAGACACACAAAAAACCAATGTTCTAAAACCCGACCTAGGGTGTCACTCGACCAAGGGGCCGGGTCTTGGGTTGATCGGTTCGACTGGTTTAACGGACAGTCTGTTGGTGATTCAGCAAGTTTGAAATCTAGCAAACACACCCTTGATAAATACGCATTAGTCCCTGTAGGTTTGAAATCCAGCAAACATAACCTTGTGATCTGATCGCATAGTTAGGGTTTCGCTTTTCTAGGCCAAATTCTGGTTAATTTCAATGGCCAAAATTCAATCCGACACCACCACCTAAACCACCGGCCTCCACTCTACAAAATCCCTCTAACCTCGGCACTTGGTAGCCCCCCATTCGTTAGCTATGACTCGCATATACCGTTGTGATTGGGTTGATTTTTCTAGCCAAATTCCGGCGTCCAAAATTCAATTCGACACTACCACCCGAACCACCAGTCTCCACTCTACAAAACCCCTCTAATCGCGACACTTGGTAGCCTCCCGTTCGTCGGTTGTGACTCGCATATACCGCTGCGGTTTGGTTGATTTTTTCACCCAGATTTCGGTTGTTATTGACACCAGGGGGTGGCAACGGTAAGGTGAGAGTGGGGGGTGAGTAGGAGGGGACAAGAGGCATCGAAAAGTAGCTAGAAGTGGTTGGCATTCAGGTTAGGGATTTTGAAATAGTGGAAAGCAGTAACCTAACTTGGAGAAGGCCCGAGTCCAAGTCCAACAGGTTAAACTGGCCGAGCCGGGCCAAGTTTCAAAACAATATAAAAAACCATAAATTTATATAAGAAAAACAAAATTTTGCATATAAAAGGTTGTTTTGATAAGTGAACTTAACGACCTTGTCACTACAAGAATTTAGGTTTCTTGCAACAAAATAATGTCACTATAAGTATCAAATTGTGACCATTTTGCTAATGTGAGAAATTGTATTAGTCACATTAAGCTCGTACTTTTAAGTGTATGGTGACGAAAGAGCGTTTGGTAACCATAGCCTAATTATTTATTGTGACAATAATAATTTGTCACTTTAAACTAGTTTATTGTGATAAATTATTTGTAATAATAAAAAACAATTTTTATCACTACAAGTAATATTTTGTCACAATTAATTTATATCTAAAGACTAAATGATAAACTTTACGGTGAGAAAACAATATATTATGACAAAATTGATTTTGTCAAAACTGTAAATAATGACTAAATTATTTGCTCATAATTTTAATAGTGATAGAAATTTATTTGTCATTAACTTTATTGCGACAATATTTATTTTGTCAAATGTTTGTTTATATGACAATATTATTTGTCAAAAATTGTATAGTGACGGAAATAATTTTGTAAAATCTTTTTCGTGAAAAGAATATTCCAGCCAAAAATAATAATTTATGCGGAAATTAAAATCGTGATAAAATATATTTATCAAATGTTGTTAATAAGGGCAAAAATATTATTAAGAAAGCTTCCTTCTTCTTCATCATCAAAAACATTTTTCTTTTAAACTTCCTCTTCCTCCTTAAAACTATTATATCTATATTCTAATACTTTTCTTATAGCAAACTATCAGCCTCCCTTGTTTTTATTTTTTTCCTACCCTTCTAACCTTGAAATTTCTTTTTCTTTCCTAAAAAACTCCCAGAAGAACAACACAAATTATAAAAGACCCAAAAGTTGAACAGTTCAATAAGTCCACTCCTGCGGCAACCGAATCTCATGGTTCATTCCTTGTTGTTGCCCGAGATTGCGCTTCTGATAACCATTTCGATACCTCAAATTAGCATCTGCAAATTCAAAGTAGGTACCCAAAAACAATCAATAAATAACGTATAATAAATAATGATTACCACAAATATCAGAAATGAAGATTGGAAGAGCATAATATTACCAGTTTCCGGTGCAAGGCTGAAACGGCGCACCCATGTCGTCGATGTTCAGATTCAAGGCCTGCACCACTTTAGCGGGAAGTAATACCATGGAACAAGCTGTTAAAAAGAGAAACAAACAAATACCATCAATATCTCTCTCAAAACGACAATAAATCAACTAATGATTTTAAAACATTATTAAAAAATGTTAATAAATCAACAACCAGATCTGCGAACAAAACGAGTAACTAATTTGGTAATGAATCTTCACTGTACCTGCCGTCTTGCGGGTCTCAGTAGGCGTGTTCACACGACAAGGCAAGAAAGCACCGGTACCAGCACATTCTCTTTTACCAATGGGAGCTCCAAGAAACACAGCTCCAAAAATTTGCAACGAAATATTATGATAGAAATATGTTTCTCCACTGCATTTATTACATATTTTTTTTATTTTGCTAAAGTATTATGATAATATTTTTTTTAATCACCATATAATTTTTTGTCATACTTAATGTGATGTTTATTTATTTTATCATAATATATATATATTGTTCGTGACAAAATAACTTTTAATAAAATTAATTTCATCACAATATAATAAATTTCTTGTAATATGTATGTAAAATTTAAGAAATTAATATAAAAGTGATTAATAAATTGAACAAAAAGTCTTCAACGGAGCTTGGATTGAGTATTTAATCAAGAAGTTTTTTTAAGTTGGTAAATGATGGTAAGGATAAAACATACTTTTGAATTTAAAATTGAATGGAGCCCTAGTATATCACTAAGGGTAGGGGTGTCTTTACCACTTTCTAGTTTCTAGATGAAGCAGATGATGAGAAAAATCTTAATTGATCTTACAAGGGTTGAAAATGAAATGAACCCTATTTTTAATTTTACAATAATAAACTTGACTCGACAAAACGACCGCATATTCGTTGAATAAATAGTGTATTGTATCTTCATGACCGGTCCGAGCCGATCTTAATCTTGATTTGTTAAATAATAATTAATAATCTTAATCTTAATCCCTCACTGACTCAACCCCCTTAAGAAACTCGTGTGAACTCCGCAAAACAAACGACAATCCAAACAGATTCAATTTGCACTCGAGGTGATGACCGATCTCTCTCTCTCTTATTTCATTTTCTGTTTGTTTCTCGAGAAAACGTTGGAATTTTATTTTCAATTTTCGCGACTGAATTCCTCTTCTCATGTTTTCATTACGCTTCGTTTAAGTTCTAGATTCAAATTAGGGTTTATTGCGGTTCCAATTAGGGTTTGTTGTGGCTTTTTTTGTGTTACCGAGATGTTTCTAAGCTTTTTTTATGAATTGCAGGTGAAGTTATGTGTTGAGGAAGGTCCTGGAGAGTTCGGGAGGTTTTCTGAGGAGAGGGTTCAGCTGAATTATAAGTGATGTGGACCAATGTTTTCAGAATTGTATGTGTTTCTTTCTTGCTCTGATTGTTGAATTTGGTTTGTCTGTATTGATTTAAGTTTGTAGTGGTTGTGGTGTTGGCGAAAAAGCTGTCTGCTTTGCTTGCGAAACTTATATAGGTTTGTTTGATTAGACTATGAATGTGGTTGAGCATTGTCTCGTCTTTCTTAGGAGTTTATTGAGTGACTAACATCAGGTTTTGATCAATATGACTGGAGTTATGGTGTTTTGGGGTTTTAGATTGTCTGGGGATGGGCCGACCAACAAACTAACTAACTGTTTAGTATTATTTTTAGTGTGTAAGAGGTTTATATATAGTTGGGAGATTCTAGTTGCTGCTTCTAGATAAACCCATTTTTTGCATATTAATTGCTACACGTAGAGCTGTCAGTTTGTGGTGGTAGACTACAGGGTGATTTGTTTGGGATCAGTTGAGCATAAGCACATTAAGCCCATTAGTGTAATGACCAGTTAATTGCAGCATGTCTATTTGAGAAGGCTTAACTATTCTTGTCATTATGAATCCCAAGGGGTTGGGCTGGTGACTCTTCAACCTGGATCCAGGTTTTCAATGCAGTGCAGTGAGAGTGAGGAGATTGCTTATGCCAGCTATAAAAGTGAAAATTTTCATGCTCCTTATTTATTTTATTTTTTTTCCTAAATGGGGATGGGACCTGTGCTTGAAATGGACAGGTTTATAGATATTGAATATTGATCGGTTATAAGTTAAAATTTCATCTCAATATTGGTAGATGTCATGACTTTATGAAAAATTAGGCTGGATGCATTAACAGAAACCATCTTTATGTGAAGGGTCTACATCTTGGTCAACAAAAGATTTTACTGATTGGTTCTTTCATTCTTGAGAAAAAGACTAATTAACTAAAAATGATAGCCAAAATAGGGAAAAGCATCATGTATAACATGTGTAAGCTTTGCACATATGGATAAATCTAGGATATACTTTTGCTGGAGATTGAGGCTTAAGCATTTGAAAGAGTTTTGACTACCGGATTGCTTATTTATGACAGTTTTATGTGTAATGAATATGGAAACTATAAGGAATACAATGTTCTTATTACTTGGGGTGGTCATGTATGACCTTGTAATCTGACTTATTAGTTTTAAATGTTTCATCAGTGTTGCCATTATGTGCATGTCTGAAATTTGTTGTGATCTAGTCGTATCAACTTTTAATACATCTTCTTTTTATCAATATAATAATACTTACGATTTATACAGGGAGGTCTTCATCATGTATCATGGTTCCAGTTTCTCCCCAATGAATCTGATGTGAATACTCTTCCTGATAAAAGGTTGGAACCTAGGGGTGATTTATATCCTCAGTTATTTTTTATTTCAAGTGAAATGAATAATGAGTAGGTACTTCCTTTTACCTATTTGAAAGACCACTAAAGTTAGATTTCTTTTGAGGTGCAACAGTGTGAAACTGGACCAGAAAGATGCTGCTACCTTCCTGGTACTTACTTCTCATCTTCAGTTGCAGAAGGAGGGATTTCTCAGCACATGGACAAATTCCTTTGTTGGACCTTGGGATCCATCTCAGGGTCTGCACAATCCTGGTAAGAACTGCAGTTAGTGGTTATCAAACAACTATGTTTTTTCTGTAGTCTTGATTTGGAGGAAAAAAGAAATAACTGAAACTTATGAGGATTTTTGTGCTAAAGTTCACAATACTTTTAAATGTATCCTTGGAAGAGAAAAGAAAGAAAAAAAGGGGGATAATTTACCCTTTTTGTGCTATTCCTAACCATTGTTGTTCATCATGTATTTTTGCATAGATGAAAAGATTAAGCTCTGGCTATTTCTTCCTGGGCGCCACTCATCTGTTTCAGAAACCGCTCAAGCTGCTGTATCAAGATTAAGAGGTATTATGTACTTCTGAGTAGTTGTTAATTTTTTTTTCTCTTTATTTATATATATAGTGTGTGGTTTACTCAAGCTCGCAAAAAAAAATCCTCATATTTTCTTTTTTGTTTTTGATAAAGCAATATATCATTTCTAGTTATGGTCTGTGATGGTGATTATATTTTATTTTATCCTCAATTCAATTTTGTGAAGTTGTTGCATCTGGGCTTTGGGTTGCTCCTGGGGACTCAGAAGAGGTTGCAGCCGCCCTTTCTCAGGCTTTAAGGAACTGTATAGAAAGGTTTGTTTTTATTTATTTTGCAGATACTAATCGGTAAAATTTGAACATTGTAATCTCATGACAACTATTATATTGGAATTTACAGAGCACTTATTGGACTTTCCTACATGAGATTTGGAGATGTATTCTCAAAGTATCATCAATCTCAAAGTGAAGAATCTTTCAGGTTTGTTATTGTTTGTTAATTAGTAGTACTATTAAAGGTTGAAGTAGAATTGAATGGAGACATGAATTTTGGCACGAGACTTGAAAATAGCATGTGTTGTCATGGAGTTTGATCTTTCTTTGGTCCCTGTAAAAAACTGATTTACTTCTGGATGTCGTTGTTTTCATTGTTTCTTATACTTTGCTTCTGCTAGCTTTGCTGGCTTACTATGTCTGTGGTAGTTGAATTCAGCAGATAAGGTCAAAGTTTTTATTTGGCTTATTTTTGGCTGGTATTTTTTTAGGAGAGGCCATCCAACAGTTGAGTTCGTCTTTGCTGCCACTGAAGAGGCAATCTTTGTGCATGCTGTAGTATCTGCAAAGTTCGTGAGAGCTGACACTTTTTTTTTTCTTGAGATCCTGGCTTTATAGTGTTGCATTTGGTCTGGTTGATATTTTTCCTTCTATGCGTGTCAAATTGATATCAAGATCTTTGTTTATTTCTAGGCATATACGTGCGCTTTCCGGTGGTGATGTGGAAAGAGTATTAGCACATTCATCTAACAGCAGTTCCAATTTCAAACTTCCAGGTCAGTATACAGTTTATGTTCTTGAATTGAATTTCAAACAGTCTTTTTTTGCCAGGTCATGTTAGTTTACAGTTTGCAAATTCTTTGAATAATTGGTGACATACTGACTTGGTGCAAGTTTATGGCACTATGTGGAGAAAAAAGGCGGAAACGAGTATTGGTTGTTCTGAAATGGAAAATTATGTATTTTCTGTTTAGTAAAAACTATTGTCCTTTGTCCTTATACAATTGTGAAAGAGACTGATTTCAGTGGACCTGAGTAGTTGGTTTTGATGTTCATCATGTCTTTGTGATGTTCAACTATAGATATCTCTGTCATTCTGATGTACAAACCTTTTTTAGTTTATGATCTTACTGATTTCTCAGATCGCAAAATACTCCGCCTCCTATGTACATTTAGCCTAACTTTTGCACCTTTTCATTTTATGTGCTTGTAAGAACTTTTAGCACTTATCCCTCACTACAGTGAGATGACAATTTTATTTCTAGGCCTTCATTCTTTTTTCTACCTCTCTAGGACCTCCTCTTTCCTAATAAATAACGAGGTTGGTCATCACATAACTGTTATCATTTAAGGGAAATTGAAAGGTCTTTGTTTCCTTGTCACCTTCATTGTGTTTAAAATGTTTGCTACTATGCTTGCAGTGATAGTTTCTCCTCATGGTATGCGTGGTAGGCTCACTGGATTTTGTCCGAACGATCTTGTCAAGCAAGTATATTTTAGGTGAATGATTTCTATTTTTTTTATCTGTAAAATTTTCACACCTTTACATTTTTCTTCTATTGGATCTATTTATAAATTATATGTCTCTAATATATTCTTCTACTGTTTTATCTTCTTAGTGCTGGCAAGTCTAGGACTACAAATGGATGTATAGGTCTACCATATAATGTTTCACAAGGTTCTGGTTGCCAGCTGAATGGGCAAAATTGCTACGTTGAAGTTACCCTTGGTTGCCCTAGATCTTGTAGTGATAAAACATCGCAAGCAAACTCAAATTCAGTAAGGAATTTACCCAAGCATAACTCTGCTGAATCTCCTCCAGTTGGAAGAAGTGATCAGAAGGGACCACCAGATCACTTATCGGTGTATGAAAAGACATTTATCTATCCAGTTGAAGCCGTGCTTGTCCCTGTCTTGCAAACATCATTCTCCAGATCTTCTTTGAGAAGGTACAATAAATTCTGTGCTAATTCTGAAGCAGTTTTATTGACTTGTTTAGAAGCATTTTGGTGCTTTTTGGCTAGATATAGTGCTGGTGTTTTTGAAAATTTTGTTAGAAGAACTTCAGGGTCTTGGCCCCAGATTGAAGGCAGTACCTTTGGTGGCACTACCGAAGGTGTCTGAGTGGGCACTCATCCGCCCCTCCCCCCAAAATTGTCTCAAGGCTATTAAGAGTGCTTGCAGTTTAGCTTCATTGCCTTGTCCCTCTGCTTATTCATATAAGTTCTCTGTTTATCACCTTGTTATCTGTTTTGTTGCATCTTTTCTTCCTCATTTTTGTATTCACTTTTCTTATTTCTTTCTTAACCAAAATGCTTTGCCTCACAATTAAATCAACCCAGTGTTTCGTCTTCATGCCAATTATATTTAATCTACTTATCGTTCTTAAACTTCTCGAGCATTGTTATATTTCGAATTTTATATTGAAATTTTTAGTCTTATATTTGTTTCTCGTGTTCTAGGGAATTGATAAATTATCTGGTTTAGATTTAAAATGTCATTCTTGTTATATTTATTCCACTTGGTTAAGCATATGTGATTTTGATTCTTAATAATTGATATCTATTTTTGTTTCCGTATTTTTGAGATCTCTTGGTGATTAGTTCTTTCTTCATTATTTTTAATTAGATAAATTTTTGTTAACTTTCTCTCAGAATTGTTTGTCTTCTATTGATTTTGTATATGCAATTATAACCACAATTTTTTTGCTGTGCTCTATTTTGTTTTATTTGATACTAAAGAAGAGATGCATATGATTTGTGGTTTTGAGTACTTTGAAAGAGTCATTTATCTCATATATCTGATTACTTTTTTGAGTTTTAATATGATTTTTTTTTATGGTGGTTTGGATTTTAAATGTTGATGACTATATGAAAAGGTAATGCTTTTTGGATGGCTATTGAGTTTAAACATTAATTTGGTTTTATAATTCTCTTGTATTTATCTTTTGCTATGATCAGTTTTTTAATCTATATTATACTCTGTATTCTCTGTCCTTTTGGTTCATTGTTGGATTTTCGTTGTTACAAACAGAGAACTGATTGTGATTTTCTTATTTCTGTATTGATAAATTATACATCAATATATAGGAAAATAAAGAACTAATCTAGGAAACAAATAATCTAATCTAGGAAATGAATAATCTAACTTCCTATTTTACAGATTTGTTCCTAATATATATTGATTACAATCCTAATATCGTATTATAGATTTATACATTTAATCATGCAATATCTGTAAGATTTTGCATGATTATCTACAACACTCCCCCTCAAGATGGAGCATAGATATTAATCATGTCCAGCTTGTTACAAATATAATCAATCCAAACCCCATTCAAAGCTTTAGTGAAAACATCTCCTAGTTGCTCTCCAGTCTTCACATATCCTGTAGAGATTAAACCTTACTATATTTTCTCACAAATGAAATGACAGTCAATTTCAATGTGCTAAGTTCGTTCATGAAATATGGGATTAAAAGCAATATGAAGAGCGATTTGGTTATCACACCACAATTTCACTGGCAAAGAGGCCAGAAGACCAACTTCAGTCAAAAACTGATATATCCATATTATTTCACACACAGACTGGGCCATAGCCCTATATTTCGATTCTGCACTAGATCGGGACACAACTGTTTGCTTCTTACTTTTCCATGAGACCAAATTTCCACCAACAAAAACACAGTGGCCTGTAGTGGATTTCCTATCTATCTTGGAACCCGCCCAATCTGCGTCAGAGAAGCACTCAATATTATGATGTCCATGATTTTCGTACAAAATACCACGTCTTGGAGCTCCTTTCAGATAACATAGAATATGTTCTAACGCTACCCAATGGTCAACCGTAGGAGAAGACATGAATTGACTTACTACACTGATAGAGTACGCAATATCAGGACGAGTGACAGTTAGATAGTTCAACTTTCCAACCAGTCTTCTATACCTCTCAAGATCTTCAAACAGTTCACCATCTTTGGTAAATTGCGAATTTGGAAACATTGGCGTACTACATGGCTTAGCTCCCAATCTTCCTGTCTCAGTTAATAAGTTAAGTACATATTTCCTTTGAGAGAGAAAGATGCATTTCTTGCTCCTTGTTACCTCAACCCCCAAGAAATAGTTAAACACTCCTAAATCTTTTTTATGAAACTAGGTGTGAAGAAAAGACTTAAGTAATGGAATCCCTATAGTGTCACTCCCAGTGATGATAATATCGTTAACATATATGACAAAAAGAATTATGCCCATTGCCGATTGTTTGTAAAAGATTGAGTGATCAGACTTGCTCTGTCATTCCGAACTTTTCAACTACCTGATTGAACTTTCCAAACCAAGCACGTGGACTCTGTTTCAAACCATACAACGATTTGCGAAGATGACAAACTTTTCCAAACCTCACCTGAGCAACAAACCCAGGTGGTTGCTCCATATAGACTTCTTCCTGAAGGTCATCTTGTAAAAAGGCATTTTTTATGTCCAACTGATGTAATGGCCAAGAATGAGTAGCCGCCATAGAGATAAATAAGCGAACAGAAGTCAATTTAGCCACAGGGGGAAAAGTATCAGAATAATCCATTCCATAAGTTTGAGCATAGCCTTTAGCAACAAGACAAGCTTTAAGCCTAGCTACTGACCCATCAGGACTTACTTTAACAGCAAACACTCATTTACATCCAATAGGTCTCTTTCCAGTAGGTAAGTCAACCAAGGTCCAAGTACCATTAACATCTAAAGCATTCATCTCTTCTATCATAACATCACGCCAGCCAGGATGAGATAAGGCTTAATAAACAGTTGTAGGAAGGGAGACAGAGTCTAGTAAGGCCACAAAAGAACAAGAAGAAGATGATAGGTGATCATAAGAAACAAATGAAAAGATAGGATAAGTACACTGACATTTACCTTTCTGAAGAGCAATAGGATGATCAAGATCACTCAAGGTTGGATCCAACGACGAAGAGTCTTGGGTAGGACATGAATTCTGAGGGTCTTCTTGACGAGGAACACAGGTATCGAGATCACTGGAGACTGGATCTAACGACGAAAGGACTGGTATAGGAGGTTCCTGTCGACGAGAATAGACAATGCGAATTGGAGGTAGTGGACGGACAGGAGGTGGTGCCGGAGGAGGAACAATAGGTGGGGAAGCCTCAGGTGTAGGAGTAGTCGGTAGGGATGTAACAGTGTAGATTAGTAAGTCATCGTCTTACCTCTGATTTGTATAGGTAGACGAAGTAGGAAAAAAAGGGTGTTTTCTAAGAAAGTAACATCAGGTGACACCAGATATCTATTAAAATTAGGACAATAGCATTGATATCCCTTTTGAAGGCGAGAGTAACCTAGAAAAACACATTTAAGAGATTTGGGATCTAACTTGGTTACCTAGGGTCGAACGTCATGAACAAAACAAATACTACCAAACATCTTTGGTGCAATAGAAAACAAAGGCTTAGACGGGAAGAGGACACTGTAAGGAGTGGAACCATTCAGGATAGATGAAGGCATGCGGTTAATTAGAAAACAAGCCGTGGAAATTGCATCGGCCTAAAATTGTTTAGGAACTTGCATTTGAAATAACAGGGCTCGGGCGGTTTCAAAAAGGTGCCTATTTTTCCTTTCGACGACTACATTTTGGGGTGGTGTGTTAACACAAGAGGATTGATGAAGAATGCCATGCTGACTCATATAAGACTAAAAAGAACTCAAAAAATATTCTTTGGCATTATCGCTTCTTAATGTCTGGACAGGAGTATTAAATTGAGTTTTAACTTCAGCACAAAAGGCACAAAAATGAGAAAATAACTCAGAACGATTTTTCATTAAATAAAGTTAAGTTACATGAGAGTTGTCATCAACAAAGGTAGCAAAATATTTAAATCCAAGTTTAGACATAATAGAACACGGACCCCAAACATCTTAATGAACTAATTCAAAAGGGACACTAGCCCGTTACTGTTGGACTTGAAGGAAGACGGTGGTGTTTGGCAAATTGATATGACTCACAATCTAACGAAGATAAATTATTAAATTGAGGACATAGTTTCTTTAACAATGGTAAAGAAGGATGTCCTAACCGACAATGCGCCTCAAAAGGGGTCGAAATACTGGAACATGCAATGGTTTTGGCACTGTGTGTCAAGGATGTAGAGCCCTCCAGATTCATGTCCTTTACCAATATATGTCTCGTCATAAGATCCTAAAACAAGCAATGATCAAGAAAAAAGAGATCAACTTTAACAGCATGAGTGAGATATACTCCCATAAATTAAATTAAAAGCGAACTGTGGTAGACTCAATACGAGGATGGAAATTAACGGAGTAGGGTTAACAAACCCAAACCTAAGAACACAAGAAGTTGACCCTCAGCTAAGTAACATTAGACGAGGAATTATGTGACTGATATGTTGAAAAGAGACTAGGATTACCTGTCATATGATGTGGTGACACTAGAATCAATGACCATTTGGAGGATGAGGAAATAAGATATGTATTTGGTTTACCTAACTCGGCGAGAGCTGATGAAGTAGATGAGGACTTCAATGATTCTTGATACTGAGAAAACTTGGCAAACTCATCAGCTGAAATCATAACTGTCTTCTCAGAAGTATCAGTAGCGCAACATGAGCTGACTGAGTTTTCTGGGCCTTATTTTGCAACTTTCTACATGTGCGCTTTGTATGACGGGTTCATGACAGTAGTAGCACCACCCTCCTGACTCCTGACTCCGATTATCACGATTATTCGAAACCCCTCCTCATTATTGCTCCTGTTATATGAACGTCCGATGTCATTATTCTGACTTACAAGAGCACTACTCGATTGAACAAATGGAGTGCTTTCTGTACGAAGAACCCTAGTAAATACCTCTGGAGGGAGGTGATCTCAGAACTGGTGAGAACCTGAGATTTAGCAGATTCAAACTCAAAAGGGAGTCCAGCTAGGAAACTCATAACCGCCATTTTCTCTCGTTGAGCTTGTTGAACTTTCCACTCAGCACTCACCGGTAAAAGGACGTTAGTTATTCATATATCCTTTTGAAGTCCATAAATAAGCCGTAAAGACCTATCTGTTTTCAGCTCAATAAAAGGCTTGCATACATCAAAAATACAAGAAACATTCATTTTCCCAGAATACAAAAAATCTAGATAGTCCATCAACTCTTTCACATATTCACAATGATTAATTAAACCAAGTATCTCACTGTTGATGGAGTTTCGTATCTGTAAGAACAACTAGGCATCCCTCTCAACCATATTTGCTTTGAATCGTCTTCTGACGGATCTTTTATGAGATGATCATCTTACCAATGCTTCGCAGGTAGAGACGAATTGTCTTACTCCAATCAAAATAGTTATCAGACCCATTAAGCTTATGATACGTAATTTTTGACATTACAGGAACCATATCAGTATAGGCTTATCAACCATGGTAAGAAGACAAAAAATTGATCTCAACACAAATAGCCAACACAACTTACAGACGAAAATCAACAAACTGACCTCAACACAAATAGCCAACAAAATTCTTCAAGAAACAATCTAATACCAACAGAAATCAACAAAACTGTCGTGAGCTGACTGGAGATACTGAGGAACTGATCACAAGACTTGCCAGAAATACAAGACGAAGCCAGGAAGGGTGATTGAAGCACTGTCCTCTGTCACACGCCCCCTACACACCAGCGCGTGAATACTGCCGTAGATGAAAAGGTGGCGCGCTGAGACTCACGCGTTGCTCCTCCGGTGATCGGACTTCAAGGAATGGTCAATCGGCAGGAGGGGCTTCTTCCTAGGCAAGCGGTGAGAAAAAAAGGCCACTCTACAGGGTGACTCACAAATAATGCTCACTTGGCAGAGAAAAAGAAAACAAAATTGAGAAACAACCTAGAATTGCTCTGATACCATGTTACAAATAGAGAACTGATTGTGATTTTCTTATTTCTATATTGATAAATTATATATCATATATAGTGAAAATAAAGAACTATTCTAGGAAACAAATAATCTAATCTAGGAAATGAATAATCTAACTTCCTATTTTACATATTTGTTCCTAATATATATTGATTACAATCCTAATATCCTATTATAGATTTATACACTTAATCATGCAATATCTGTAAGATTTTGCATGATTATCTACAATAGTCGTAAAGCCTGCTTCTATTTGTTCTTCAAATGTTTTTTTATGTTCCTTAAATTGACGCAGATGATGTAAATTGCAGATTTTGGCTGCAAAATTGGATAGGGCCGTCAATGGCTGGTTCATCTTTCCTCATGCATTGGTTAGTGTTTGAGTCATCAGTTCTCACTGTTTGTTTTCTTTTCCTCGTCACTATAAATGATAATGTTGACAGATGGTCCCTGAATTTTCAATTTTCTGTCATGTTATTCTTTTCTGCAGTTTTGGTAATTTAGACTCAATGGAAGGATCTTGGGTTGAAACCAATGGAATGCATACTCGTGGTTATAATAGTAGTAGCAATAGCAATAATAGTAGCTTTAACTCCGTAAGTGGCAGCTCCAGTGATAGTGATTACAAGATGACCATAGGAACTGGTGATCTTGAGGCAGATGCGGATTCTTTAACGTGTAGGCAGTCTGGTTTATCTTCTAGTAATCAGCTACAAAATGATGGCCCTAAATTGGTACTACTTTCTATCTTCATTCATCAAGTACATTTATTTCATCTTTGATATTAGTACCCTTACATGCTTATGACAGTAGAATCTGTTTTTGCAGTTCAATTGTATTTTTATATATAATGTTTAGATGTGATTCTATGTTTGCAAGAAGCGGTACCTGTTCGTTGTTGGGAATGGGAATTAGGGAATGGTATTTTAGATTTAGTAGCTTGTTTTGTTAAAAAATTAAGGGCAGTTTGTCTTTTCTCCTTTCTACATTGGTTTGGGTAAATGGTGTGGCTATTAGAAGTAGATGTAGTTCGAAACAGGATGTGCTTATCACGTATTTTGCTGTAAATTGTAATTTCCAAGTGGGTATCCATATCCTATTGTTGTGCCTGGGCAGGTTGCCTGCTCTTTTATGTTTCTTCAGGAATAGGGTTGATGGAAAATCTTAAGAATTTGTTCACTAAATTTTCATGTTTTTTCTGCCTTCTGTAGAGATTTATTATTTTAATTTGTTATTGTTATGATTAGAAGTATGCAGTTGGAAACGTCAATACTGTTTTCTAAGTTCTATTGTTGTTTATTTACAATTATTTTCAGATAATCAGCATAATAAATCAGCTGTAATTTCTATGCAGGGTTCTAAGCGCCCTCGAATGGGGATGGCAGACTCATTTGGTCAACTGGGTACAGTTACAAATGCTTCTGATTTAGGTTCTGTAGAAAATAATTCAGGGATTACTGGAGTTACAAATGATCAGATCTGGGACTGGGATGATGATGACAGAGGCAATGGCATGGATATCCAAGCTCTTCTATCAGAGTTCGGAGATTTTGGTGACTTTTTTGAAAATGATGCCTTGCCTTTTGGGGAGGTGATTTCTTTTCTTTTATCTATTTCAAATGTTACCTCAAAAATAGTGCATGCTTTTAAGATATTATATTTCCTCTGCTTCCTAAGAGTTTGTGTCCTTAAAAATAAAACCCTTCTTTTTCAGGAAGAATTATATATTGTAATAATTCTTCACTTCGATTAAGTTCTTTCAAATCTTACCTGTGATGGTTGATATTCTAATAAATTAATATTCTGAGTGATGGGGTTGGTATTATAGAGAGGGTAATGTGCAAAACTAAAAGGGTGTTGACTTTCTTCTGAATGGACTGGTGGTATTGAGTGGGGGTGGATGGGTATGGGACTCTATTGATGGGTTACTTAATATTGTGGTTTCTCCTTCAGTTGGGAAACCTGAACGTCAGAACTTAGAACTCTTACTGTAACTGTAGCTTGATTGGGTTTGAAACTAGCCAGTACATGCATGTTGAAATGAATTGACTGTGTTTAGACCTCTCAGAAGATTTGACATGGCTGAAGTGTGACTCTTGTTTTGACAGGGTTGAAGTGTGACCCTTGTTCTCTGGTTGCGACACAACATCAATACTAAGTTCATGCTTTATGTTGGCAATGCTAATCAATGTTTTGAAAACCAGACCGAACTTTGACTCGGTCAAGTCCGGTTCCCGATTTGACCGGTCTAACCAATTCAACCGGTCGGTTGGACCGCTGACATCATTAAAAAAAATAATTTATTGAATACATAAAAACTTCAATCTTTTTCACTTTCTCCTTCTCACTCCTTTTCTTCACCATTCCTCTCTCTTTAATTAATTTCTTTTCAATACATATTCCCAAATCCCAAGTCTCAACACTTTTCAATTTCAAATCTCCATTCTCTAGCCGCCTCTTTCATCGGCAAAAAGCCTCTTCTTTTTCTCTCTCCTTTTCTCTACCACTCCTTCTTCTTCTCTCTCATTAATTAATTTCTTTCTTTTCATATCCCAACATATTTCAATTTCAAATATCTAAGCTTTTCCCTTTTATCAATAAGTAAAAATAAAAAAAGCAACAATTGTCAATTAATTTTCACGAGGAAGACTGAAGAACGGAGAGGGAAGTGAGGAAGAAATAAAAATAAAATCCATGGGAGAAAGGAAGCTAGGGGAGGCGCGTGGATAAAAAGGTGAGGGGAAAGTTGGGGTTCATTTTTCAGATTTGGTGGCTTCTCTTTTATCAATCAATAAAAACAAAAAAACAGCAATTAGTTCTCACGAGGAAGATTGAAAGCAGCGAACAGAGAGGGAAGTGAGGAGGAAATGACAATAGAATCTATGGGAGAAAGAAGCTAGGGGAGGCGTGTGGATAAAAAGGTGAGGGGAAAGTTGGAGGCCATTTTACAGATTTAGCGAAAATTTTCATAGGGAAGACTAAAATGGATAAGTTCTGAGAATTGGAGAGAGTTAGGAGTGAAGATGAAGATGAAGGTGGGTTTTTTCTTAGTGACCTGGTTTTTCCACTGGACTGGTTAGACTGGCGGTTCGACACTGTTTCGCTGGTTCAAATCCGGTCCAATCCGAGCCAAATGTTATAAACGGTTCTGATTATGTCTTAGACCGGATAAAGGACCGATCGACGGTCCAAGCAGTCCAACCGGCTGGTCCGGTCCGGTTTTTAAAACATGGATGCTAATCTTTATGACATGAATGTAGGTTCATATATGTTATTGTTACTCTAGGATGTGTAATCTTCTTTTGAAAAGTTGATTGCTTATAGTTCTATTTCAGTGAAATTTGGAATCTTTTTTGTTCTTCTGTCTGTTTCCATCTTGTTCTTATCTTTAACTTTTAGAAGTTGATGTGGCATGCCTCCCGTAATCTTATGCCTAACTACTATGCTTTCTTTAATGCTTTTTATTTTGATTTCGTTTAACTTTCTTTCAATCTCATTATTGCTCTTTGTTCTGTGAAGCCCCCAGGAACTGCAGAGTCTCAGGCTCTTATTTTTTCTGCTCCAGACAGTGGAGATGTAGGTAGCAGTCCAGTTGTGCTAATGGATGTTTCAGATCAGATGCTAGTGCCTGTTAATTTTCCCTCTTTTGAGAGCTTTAATTCGCAGCCTCCAGTGGCCATAGAGGAGTGTGTCAGCAAAAGCCAAGAAGTCACGAACAGTGCTCTGACATCAGGTCCAGTGAACCATACTCCAGCTTCTTCCACGGGTGAGTTTGATCATCTAATGAAAGCTGAAGCACTGATGACCTTTGCACCAGAATATGGAGCAGTTGAAACTCCTACAAGTGAGTTGTCCTCAACGATCTTCAGAAGCCCATATCATCCTAAGTCTCATAAAGTAGAAAGTTCAAATTCAAGCACAAATAATTATGTATATGGTGCAACCCCACCCTCCTCTCCTTGCATTGATGGATCAGATGAGAAGAATGGCATGCCTGTGAAGTCGAAACCAAGTACTGGAAAGCATGATTCAAGTGGTTTCCTCCAGTCAAAGAAATATTACACTCATGTGGAGAGCTCTAGAGACCAACATGACAGGAAATCATTAACACATAAAGACAGCAATGCTCCAAGCGAGGGGGTGCTTTTATCCCCATTCTCTAATTTCAGTTCTACAAACGCTGTCACAGCTGTCTCAAGGAAAATGAATGAGGGCACATTAGGAGCGGAGCATTTTTTTATGCCTCTGAAGAATGTGCTTGCAACTGAAGTTGAATGCATTATGTTCCAAGCTTCCATGTGCAGGATACGCCATGTACTTCTATTCTCCAGTAACCCTTCACCTATGAGCTTGAGTAGGTTCGCTGGAAGCGTGGTGTTGAATCAGTTGCCTGGTGACTCAAGTACCATGACAGAAAGCATGTCTGGCAGGTATGAGGTCAAGAAGAAAGAAAACATTCCTGTTAGGATTGCTGGTGATATTGATGGAGGAATACTTGATGGGCACCTTAATGCACCTGTTGGTGTATGGCGTACTGTTGGAGTTACTAAAGCTTCAAAAGCTACTAATTCACCAAGCATTGAAGCTAGTCCATCTATGCCTCATAATTCATTCAGTGAGGAAGGTATGCTCTCCTATGGGCATAGGCAACCCCTTCAAGAACTTCTTGATGGCATGGCATTTCTTGTCCAACAAGCTACCTCCTTTGTTGATGTGGCCCTGGATGCGGATTGTGGTGATGGTCCTTATGGTTGGCTTGCATTGCAAGAGCAATGGAGGCATGAATTTTCTTGTGGACCTTCCATGGTCCATGCTGGTTGTGGAGGGACTTTGGCTTCTTGTCACTCCTTGGACATTGCTGGCGTGGAGCTAGTAGATCCACTTTCTGCTGATGTAAGTTTCTTTGTGTCACTGAAATCCTATTTATGCTGATCGTTGTTTACCAATGTAGTTGATTTAACTTGAGCTAAAGATCATATTGACAGTGATATCTTGTAAACATCATTGTCAGATTGCATGGATAGCTTTTAATGCAGCACTGTGGTAGAACATGAATTTGTATTTGTTAGTAATTGTTATGTGTTACTTCCCATTACATCCCTTTTTTGTACCTTTCCTACATTTATCAGTTTCCAAATCATGTGTAAAATTTGGAAAGTGAATCTATTATACATGGTTAGAGTTTTTCATTATTACATTAAGTTTTTATTATTACATTAAGTAGAGATGTTAATCACTATGAAAGAAAAATGAAATAAAATAGTTTACTGATTTTGCTCATTTTGAAGAAAGCACCCTTGCAGTTTGGTTTTGAGATCTTAATTCTTTTTTATCTTTTAATTTTATTAATTTTCTGTCTGGTATCATATGTGTGTATTTGTGTATGTATTAATTGATGTTTCATCACATAGCTTTCTTGATCTTCACCACATAATGTTCCTTCATTTGCTTTTTCAGATTCATTCTTCTTCTGTAATTAGTTTGCTGCAGTCTGAAATTAAATCAGCCTTAAAATCTGCTTTTGGCGTTTTGGATGGTCCGTTGTCTGTCACTGATTGGTGCAAAGGCCGTGCTCAATCAGTTGATGCAGGAGCCTTAGCTGATGGATCTGCTGAATCTATTGTAAGTGAAGGCAGAGATTCTTCAAGTACTGTTACTTTATCTGTAGGAGAAGCAATGAGTCCATCCCAATCTTCTGGTGGCGGAACTAAGATGGATGAAACAAGCCAAAGGAGATTAAACCAAGATATTGCCAATTCAGAGTCAGAACAACAATTGTCTGCCCGTTTAAGGCCCACACTTTATGTCCTTCCTTCACCTGCTATACTCGTTGGGTATGCATCCTGAATTCTTTATGATTAAATTTGTGCATAGACATCTGAGAAAATATTAAGGAGCCACAAACTTGTAAAATAGAAAGAAAAGAAGCAAAGTAACAAGTAGGAGACAGTAATTGTTCATATTGATAAGTGCTCTAATGTAATGACATTCTTGATGCTTGTTTGTTCATCTATTTCTCTTTCCAAAGGGGGTAGGGGAAGTGGGAGGTTGTTTCAGATAGATCTCTGGTGATCACATTGTATGTTTTTGGGATTATACTTGGATTAAGTTTGATGCAGTGAACTGAAATTTTTATGCAAAAGTAATAAATTTGATGGTTTACTTTATGTATAGAGAAACAAAAAATTCAAAAACAGTGTACAATTAATGTTGAAATAATAAATTTTTCATGATTTATTGGGTTAATTTAGAATTATTACTCGGTATTCTATCCTAAGATGGCTTGCATTTGTTAGCTTAAAGGTTAAACTGTTAATGTATGTAGAGATCACTAATATGCCTTTTATCAAGTGCATGCAATCAGCTGCAAGCATCAGTTGTATCATTTGACTTTATCATATTTTTATCATGCCCAGAAGTTTAATTAGTGACTTTTTGTGAATAGGTACCAGGATGATTGGCTTAAGACGTCAGCAACCTCTTTACAGTTCTGGGAGAAGGCACCTCTTGAACCATATGCTTTACCAAAACCAGTAAGATTCTTGAAAGCAATTACAAGCCACATCAATGAAACACTATTGCTATCTGTTTTTCATCCTTTTAACCTTTTTGCTGAATGAATTTTAAAAAATTGTTTTCCTCTGGTTTGTGCATAAATTGTTGCAGGTCACTTATAGTGTTATATGTCCAGACATTGATCCCCTTACTTCTGCTGCGGCCGATTTTTTCCAACAACTAGGAACTGGTGAGCTAGTGAGATTTTTGCTTTAGTTATATGTATAATTGCTGTTTTTGAAATTAAACATGATATGCAGAACGTTTGTGTATTCGCTCTTCCACTTGTGCAAAACAAAGGAGGTTTTGTATTTTTGTTCTACCGTGGATGCATCAATTGAAACATTCTTTTTGAACTTAGTAAAATACTTCAATCTTTTCTCTTAGAGAAGTGAATCTGCTTTGCCTCTGCCTGATTAAAAGGAATTATCTCTAACATAAAAAAGTCCCTATTATTAGCACTTCATTTTCAACTCTGGGTTCTATGCTATAAGTTTAAAGCATGTGTGCACTTTCCCGTGACTGCCATGACATTGCAAACCAGTAAAACACATCAATTATGTGCTCCCAGGTTTTCACACTTTTCCCTGAGTGCTGATACTTTTTTTTTTTTTTTTTCTGTTGATAATGTTGCCCTTTTTCTTTATTCAGCAGAATGAAAATGAAATGCAATGATTATTTCTTCCTTACTCTTACAATTTGTATTTCTCCCATTTAGTTTATGAGACCTGCAAGCTGGGAACTCATTCACCACAGAATTTGGGAAATCAAATGGAGATAGATTCGGGGAAATCACCATCTTCGGGTTTTGTTCTACTGGATTGTCCTCAATCAATGAAAATAGAAAGCAGTAATGCGTCACTTGTGGGATCGATAAGCGATTATTTTCTCTCACTGTCCAATGGCTGGGACTTGACAAGCTTTTTAAAGTCTCTCTCGAAGGCTCTCAAAGCTTTGAAACTTGGTACAAGTTTGTCCACAAACCTAAAAGAAGGAAATAGTGGTCCTTGTACGGTGAGTTTAAGTTCTCTAATTTCTTCTTGCTATTGTAGTTTGGAGCGCATGTGTCTTTAAAGGGTTCCCACTGGTGTATTTCTCAAGCAGTTGTGAACTTGTGATGCATGAAACATCATTATTGATTATGCTTTGTTATTGATTGAAACCAGGATTTTCATTTGCATTGAGTATCATTATTATTGCTTAGCTTTAATGTAATTTTTTAACAATTATATATGTGGAAACTTTTTCCTTAGAAGGTTAGCATTTTGTATGGACCCATGGTACCTGGAACACTGATATGCTCTGTAGAAAGTATGAAGATACCGGTTTCAGATGCTAAAAGTTTTGCAATTTTTAGTTTTATTCAATAGTCACTTGGTTTGTATCCGACAATGGGCCTATCAAAAAGTTGAATTCTGTTTGCTTGTTTATGGATGGATAGTTTCATACCACCTCTATTACATGTTACAGAATTATCATATTTATTCTGAAGCTTTTGTGTCATACATGCTCTTTATTACTAGTTTATGGCTGAATGATTTTGGTATTGCCAATTATACATCTTTTATATATGTTTAGGTAATCTACGTGGTGTGCCCCTTCCCGGAGCCTATGGCCGTTCTACAAACTGTTATTGAATCTTCTGTTTCTCTTGGATCAATTACAAATTCATCTGACAGAGACAGGAGATCTATTTTGCACAGTCAGGTTGGGAAGGCATTAAGCTGCTCAGCTGCTGTGGATGAAGCATCTGTATCCAATGTTCTAGTGATTTCTGGTTTCAGCATTCCCAAGTTGGTACTGCAAATTGTGACAGTTGATGCCATTTTTAGGGTTACAAGTCCAGGTTTTAATGAACTTCTTGTTCTCAAGGAGACTGCATTCACCATATACAACAAGGCTCGGCGAATTTTACGAGGATCCTCTAATGATATGGTTAATACATCATCATTTTCTGGTAGATCTCATTCGGTTTTAACTCAAATGACTTCTATTCCAGGGATGTGGAAGGATTGTGTTGGTTCTCGAATGACAGGACCTCCCCTTCCTAGAGAGGGTGAAATCGATGCTACCTTGAGGCCTAATACTTGGGATAATTCCTGGCAAACTAGAACTGGTGGATTAAGTTGTGATCCTAACAGAAACGGAGATTTTATTCTTCAAGATGAAATTCGTTTTTTGTTTGAACCACTTTTTATTCTTGCGGAACCTGGCTCCCTAGAGCATGGACTTCAATCTACAGTTTTTGGTAATCCAACTTCTGAATCATCAAAGCAATTGTCCGATGATGTTAGTGGAGGCTTCATGCCTAGTGGAAGTTCGGTGGGAAGTGTTGAAGCTGGATCAAGCTCTCAGCTTGATGGATCTGAGTCTGATGGCTTTGGGTCTGCCCATCAAAAGACTCTTCCAAGCCTACATTGCTGTTATGGGTGGACAGAGGACTGGCGTTGGCTTGTATGCATCTGGACTGATGCTAGGGGAGAATTGCTTGACAGCCATATATTTCCATTTGGTGGAATCAGTAGTAGGCAGGACACAAAAGGTCTGCAATGCCTATTTGTGCAAGTTTTACAGCAAGGCTGCCAGATATTGCAGACATGTTCTCCTGATTCCGGTGCTGCAAAGCCAAGAGATTTCGTGATTGCACGCATTGGAAGTTTCTATGAGCTTGAATACCTAGGTATACCTTTTTTCTTCTCATCATCTTATATTCCGGCTTTCCATATTTTTGCTGATCAATGCAGGAATGATCACTGCCATTTACTTGGTAGCTAACCATGGAATATTATTCAATAAAACTACTATATGATGTAGGACAAGGAGAGAGGTAAGAGAAAGGAAGAGAACAGATAAGAAAGAAGAGAGAAATTTAGAAGAAAATAGAAAGAATTTAGGGGAGGGAGTTTTCAATAATTTGTATTAATAATCAAAGTCCGAATAACATATAAATCTAAGGCCTATTTATAGGCTTGAAATCACACTACTATTAATAGAATATGAAATCATTATTCTAATAGAATAAAAAATCACTCTCCTAATAGAATAGGATAACCTAAAGTAAAAGGAAAACAAGCATAAAATTAAATACTAAAAGAAATAAAATCCAAGAACCTATAGAATCCTGTAACATATTTACTACTATAGCCTTTCCTAATGTCTTTAGGCGGGGGATCTACATCACTGTGTTTTTACTCTTGGCTGTTTTTCACCAGTCACATGCTTTTCATGGTAAAAAAAAAATGAGTTGCCACTTCTGTTCAACAATTTATCACCATCAATGTCAACCGGCAACTTAGAATATTCTCTTGTGAAACCTTCTGCTATGCCATTGGAGACTCGTCACCCACTTAAAATTATTTGTTTAGCCTATGAGGCAACAAATAGTGTTTCTTTCTGTTTTCTTGGCATTGAGTTGTGTCTAATTTGGTGTGTCATATGATTAAACAGAGTGGCAGAAAGCCATTTATTCAGTTGGTGGGTCTGAGATGAAGAAATGGCCTTTGCAACTACGTCGATCTGTGCCTGATGGGATGCCTTCAAGCAGTAATGGCACGTCCTTGCAGCAGCAGGAGATGAGTTTGATCCAAGAGAGGGCACTGCCATCCTCACCTAGTCCATTGTATAGCCCTCACTCAAAATCTTCTGGCTTTATGAAAGGTGGTTTAGGACAACCTGCCGCAAGAAAACAGCTTATTAGTGGACATACAATGGTTGACAACTCAAGGGGGTTGCTTCAGTGGGTACAGAGCATCAGCTTTGTTGCAATTTCAATCGACCATTCTTTACATTTAGTTCATCAAGCAGATTCACCATCTCCTGGTAAGCTTTCAGTCTTTCATCATTTTAATTGTTTGCATTCAGCTGCTGTGAGAACATTAAAGTATTATTGTTGAACTCCTACCTAATAGCTTATGCTTTTGGGTTAACTGGTACATTAACGAATTAAAAGACAAATGCTTAGAAATTTTTAGACATCCTTGGATTTTTGAAATCTGAAGATTTATTTTAATGGCAAGCAGTTTCCATTAACATTTTCTTATAAAAGATATTCAAGTATGATGCTGGAAACAAAGTTCACTCTTATATCAAAGATTGCCTTAAGAAAGATTTTGAATTCTAGTTTCCAAAATGATGTGCTTAACATTTTTTTAAGCACCTTGTTGGCGTTCCCTTGTACCAGCACAGTCATGTAACTTCTTTTGCCTTTTAGATGAACATAATATTCTGCATGATGATGCATTCTTTTGTTTTCTGAATTCCTACCTATATTTCTGCAGGAGGAAGTCAAGGTAGCAGTGCTGTGGGCCTGTCAGGCTATTTGGAAGGTTTCACCCCTGTAAAGTCCCTCGGTGCTTCATCTGCATCATACATATTGATCCCATCACCCAGCATGCGCTTCCTTCCTCCAACACCTCTCCAGCTCCCCACATGCCTTACTGCCGAGTCTCCCCCCCTCGCTCATCTCCTTCACAGTAAAGGCTCTGCAATTCCCGTTTCCACAGGTTTTGTGGTCTCCAAAGCTGTACCATCTATGAGAAAAGACCGCAAGAACAACTTGAAAGAAGAATGGCCTTCTGTACTTTCAGTTGGTCTAATTGATTATTATGGAGGTAATAACATTACCCAAGATAAAATCGTAAGGGGAATTATCAAGCAGGGAAGAAGGACTGTAAGCTCAGAAGCTAAAGATTTTGAAATAGAGACCCATTTGATTCTCGAGTCTATTGCAGCAGAACTTCATGCCCTGTCATGGATGACTGTGAGCCCTGCTTACTTGGAGCGTCGAACTGCACTGCCTTTTCACTGTGATATGGTTTTAAGATTGAGAAGGTTGCTTCATTTTGCTGATAAAGAGCTTACACAGCAGGCAGATAAGTCACAAGTGTAGGATAGTCTGATAGCAGCACATCACACGCTTGTTCTCTTACTGCATTTCTCAATGAAAGGGGAATGTACAAGCTAGCTCTGTTGGTCATGCGAGACTGCTTTTATGCTTGGATGTCCAATAACATGTACATGTATTTATGTATTTAATAGTATCTCACTGATCAGTAGTTGTGCTTTTAGAATTTCCAGAAAGAAATCAGTCTAGGAAGCGAGATAGTTAGGCCTAACTTATGTAGTTACAGTTATCAGATTACAGAAATGTTAATGAGCCTTGTTGGAAAGCTCTATTTTACTCTAATCACTGTGATTAGTAGATTCGCCCATTTTTAAGAGATCTTGTATCATCCAATTTTGTTACTCAATTCTTTCATAGATGTTTGTAAGAACTACAATAATCCTTTTCAGAATCGGCGATGGGTAATCTTATCAGGTGATTATTTAGAGGTCAGAGAACCTCACATTTTCGCCGAATTTGTACTTGATGCTCCTTTGATGGATAGGTTTTTTTTGAAAATGATATTGAAGACCTGAAACAGTCTTCGGTTCCGAGATTATGTCTATGCATGATTGACTTGTCGATCAGTGGAATCACCCCTTTTATGCCTAACATGTGAATCATATTTTGTGAGTGTAGCTGAAGCAGAGCCAGCCATGATTCAGATCACATTATTCTTCAAGGCTAGGGTCCATCTGAGCTTAAATCCAACAAAATATCAGGTACTCATTTTCGAAACACCTTTTCGTAATTAGCCTAATAAAGATGGTAGTTTACTTTAGTTTGAAGATTAATGATGTTGGTCACCAACTGGGTTCATTTTCCAAGTAAGCCTCCTAGTTTCTACTAAAGATGAAGAAGAGAGTAATTAGGAGGAGAAAAAGTACAGGGACATGGGGAAGCAAAGGAACATGAATGACATTGATTTCTGGGTCCCATACAAGTCTTGGAGTATAGGCAAAGGTTACTTCAACCAACTCTTTCTTTGCTGTTCCTGCGGTATTTTCTGCCTTTGATGGGGGCCATGTGCAAAGCATATGATGTGATTTGGCAGGTGTCTGTTTTTGTTTAGTTATTCATATGGAAACAAACTAGAAGAAATATCCTCTTTGATTAGTACATGTGGTGGTTAGAGTCTATAGAAAAATGAGTTAAATCCCTGAGGTTTAGTGTAAGTAACGTTAGAATCTGAAAGGAACACTTGAGTCTTCATCAGTTAACAAAAAATACCCCTAAATCTTGTCTTATATTAAAAACAAATAGAATTACAACAATTAGGGGTATTTTAGACTTTTGGAAAAATCTTTAAATAGTTGATGACTAGTAAGGATCTAAGTGTTACTTTCAGATTCTACTGTCAATAACCTAATAGGATCCTGTAACATATTTCTCCTATAGCCTTTCCTAATGTCTTTAGGCGGGGATCTACATCACTGTGTTTTTACTCTTGGCGTTTTGCACCAGTCACATGCTTTTCATGGTAAAAAAATGAGTTGCCACTTCTGTTCAACAATTTATCACCATCAATGTCAACCGCAACTTAGAATATTCTCTGTGAAACCTCTGCTATGCCATTGGAGACTCGTCACCCGCTTAAAATTATTTGTTGCCTATGAGGCAACAAATAGTGTTCTTTCTGTTTTCTTGGCATTGAGTTGTGTCTAATTGGTGTGTGCATATGATTAAACAGAGTGGCAGAAAGCCATTATTCAGTTGGTGGGTCTGAGATAAGAAATGGCCTTTGCACTACGTCGATCTGTGCCTGATGGATGCCTTCAGCGTAATGGCACTTCTTGCAGCAGCAGGAGATGAGTTTGATCCAAGAGAGGGCACTGCCATCCTCACCTAGTCCATTGTATAGCCCTCACTCAAAATCTTCTGGCTTTTTGAAAGGTGTTTAGGACAACCTGCCAAGAAAACAGCTTATGTGGACATACAATGGTTGACAACTCAGGGGTTTGCTCAGTTGTTTTTCTTTATTCAGCAGAATGAAAATGAAATGCAATGATTATTTCTTCCTTACTCTTACAATTTGTATTTCTCCCATTTAGTTTATGAGACCTGCAAGCTGGGAACTCATTCACCACAGAATTTGGGAAATCAAATGGAGATAGATTCGGGGAAATCACCATCTTCGGGTTTTGTTCTACTGGATTGTCCTCAATCAATGAAAATAGAAAGCAGTAATGCGTCACTTGTGGGATCGATAAGCGATTATTTTCTCTCACTGTCCAATGGCTGGGACTTGACAAGCTTTTTAAAGTCTCTCTCGAAGGCTCTCAAAGCTTTGAAACTTGGTACAAGTTTGTCCACAAACCTAAAAGAAGGAAATAGTGGTCCTTGTACGGTGAGTTTAAGTTCTCTAATTTCTTCTTGCTATTGTAGTTTGGAGCGCATGTGTCTTTAAAGGGTTCCCACTGGTGTATTTCTCAAGCAGTTGTGAACTTGTGATGCATGAAACATCATTATTGATTATGCTTTGTTATTGATTGAAACCAGGATTTTCATTTGCATTGAGTATCATTATTATTGCTTAGCTTTAATGTAATTTTTTAACAATTATATATGTGGAAACTTTTTCCTTAGAAGGTTAGCATTTTGTATGGACCCATGGTACCTGGAACACTGATATGCTCTGTAGAAAGTATGAAGATACCGGTTTCAGATGCTAAAAGTTTTGCAATTTTTAGTTTTATTCAATAGTCACTTGGTTTGTATCCGACAATGGGCCTATCAAAAAGTTGAATTCTGTTTGCTTGTTTATGGATGGATAGTTTCATACCACCTCTATTACATGTTACAGAATTATCATATTTATTCTGAAGCTTTTGTGTCATACATGCTCTTTATTACTAGTTTATGGCTGAATGATTTTGGTATTGCCAATTATACATCTTTTATATATGTTTAGGTAATCTACGTGGTGTGCCCCTTCCCGGAGCCTATGGCCGTTCTACAAACTGTTATTGAATCTTCTGTTTCTCTTGGATCAATTACAAATTCATCTGACAGAGACAGGAGATCTATTTTGCACAGTCAGGTTGGGAAGGCATTAAGCTGCTCAGCTGCTGTGGATGAAGCATCTGTATCCAATGTTCTAGTGATTTCTGGTTTCAGCATTCCCAAGTTGGTACTGCAAATTGTGACAGTTGATGCCATTTTTAGGGTTACAAGTCCAGGTTTTAATGAACTTCTTGTTCTCAAGGAGACTGCATTCACCATATACAACAAGGCTCGGCGAATTTTACGAGGATCCTCTAATGATATGGTTAATACATCATCATTTTCTGGTAGATCTCATTCGGTTTTAACTCAAATGACTTCTATTCCAGGGATGTGGAAGGATTGTGTTGGTTCTCGAATGACAGGACCTCCCCTTCCTAGAGAGGGTGAAATCGATGCTACCTTGAGGCCTAATACTTGGGATAATTCCTGGCAAACTAGAACTGGTGGATTAAGTTGTGATCCTAACAGAAACGGAGATTTTATTCTTCAAGATGAAATTCGTTTTTTGTTTGAACCACTTTTTATTCTTGCGGAACCTGGCTCCCTAGAGCATGGACTTCAATCTACAGTTTTTGGTAATCCAACTTCTGAATCATCAAAGCAATTGTCCGATGATGTTAGTGGAGGCTTCATGCCTAGTGGAAGTTCGGTGGGAAGTGTTGAAGCTGGATCAAGCTCTCAGCTTGATGGATCTGAGTCTGATGGCTTTGGGTCTGCCCATCAAAAGACTCTTCCAAGCCTACATTGCTGTTATGGGTGGACAGAGGACTGGCGTTGGCTTGTATGCATCTGGACTGATGCTAGGGGAGAATTGCTTGACAGCCATATATTTCCATTTGGTGGAATCAGTAGTAGGCAGGACACAAAAGGTCTGCAATGCCTATTTGTGCAAGTTTTACAGCAAGGCTGCCAGATATTGCAGACATGTTCTCCTGATTCCGGTGCTGCAAAGCCAAGAGATTTCGTGATTGCACGCATTGGAAGTTTCTATGAGCTTGAATACCTAGGTATACCTTTTTTCTTCTCATCATCTTATATTCCGGCTTTCCATATTTTTGCTGATCAATGCAGGAATGATCACTGCCATTTACTTGGTAGCTAACCATGGAATATTATTCAATAAAACTACTATATGATGTAGGACAAGGAGAGAGGTAAGAGAAAGGAAGAGAACAGATAAGAAAGAAGAGAGAAATTTAGAAGAAAATAGAAAGAATTTAGGGGAGGGAGTTTTCAATAATTTGTATTAATAATCAAAGTCCGAATAACATATAAATCTAAGGCCTATTTATAGGCTTGAAATCACACTACTATTAATAGAATATGAAATCATTATTCTAATAGAATAAAAAATCACTCTCCTAATAGAATAGGATAACCTAAAGTAAAAGGAAAACAAGCATAAAATTAAATACTAAAAGAAATAAAATCCAAGAACCTATAGAATCCTGTAACATATTTACTACTATAGCCTTTCCTAATGTCTTTAGGCGGGGGATCTACATCACTGTGTTTTTACTCTTGGCTGTTTTTCACCAGTCACATGCTTTTCATGGTAAAAAAAAAATGAGTTGCCACTTCTGTTCAACAATTTATCACCATCAATGTCAACCGGCAACTTAGAATATTCTCTTGTGAAACCTTCTGCTATGCCATTGGAGACTCGTCACCCACTTAAAATTATTTGTTTAGCCTATGAGGCAACAAATAGTGTTTCTTTCTGTTTTCTTGGCATTGAGTTGTGTCTAATTTGGTGTGTCATATGATTAAACAGAGTGGCAGAAAGCCATTTATTCAGTTGGTGGGTCTGAGATGAAGAAATGGCCTTTGCAACTACGTCGATCTGTGCCTGATGGGATGCCTTCAAGCAGTAATGGCACGTCCTTGCAGCAGCAGGAGATGAGTTTGATCCAAGAGAGGGCACTGCCATCCTCACCTAGTCCATTGTATAGCCCTCACTCAAAATCTTCTGGCTTTATGAAAGGTGGTTTAGGACAACCTGCCGCAAGAAAACAGCTTATTAGTGGACATACAATGGTTGACAACTCAAGGGGGTTGCTTCAGTGGGTACAGAGCATCAGCTTTGTTGCAATTTCAATCGACCATTCTTTAAATTTAGTTCATCAAGCAGATTCACCATCTCCTGGTAAGCTTTCAGTCTTTCATCATTTTAATTGTTTGCATTCAGCTGCTGTGAGAACATTAAAGTATTATTGTTGAACTCCTACCTAATAGCTTATGCTTTTGGGTTAACTGGTACATTAACGAATTAAAAGACAAATGCTTAGAAATTTTTAGACATCCTTGGATTTTTGAAATCTGAAGATTTATTTTAATGGCAAGCAGTTTCCATTAACATTTTCTTATAAAAGATATTCAAGTATGATGCTGGAAACAAAGTTCACTCTTATATCAAAGATTGCCTTAAGAAAGATTTTGAATTCTAGTTTCCAAAATGATGTGCTTAACATTTTTTTAAGCACCTTGTTGGCGTTCCCTTGTACCAGCACAGTCATGTAACTTCTTTTGCCTTTTAGATGAACATAATATTCTGCATGATGATGCATTCTTTTGTTTTCTGAATTCCTACCTATATTTCTGCAGGAGGAAGTCAAGGTAGCAGTGCTGTGGGCCTGTCAGGCTATTTGGAAGGTTTCACCCCTGTAAAGTCCCTCGGTGCTTCATCTGCATCATACATATTGATCCCATCACCCAGCATGCGCTTCCTTCCTCCAACACCTCTCCAGCTCCCCACATGCCTTACTGCCGAGTCTCCCCCCCTCGCTCATCTCCTTCACAGTAAAGGCTCTGCAATTCCCGTTTCCACAGGTTTTGTGGTCTCCAAAGCTGTACCATCTATGAGAAAAGACCGCAAGAACAACTTGAAAGAAGAATGGCCTTCTGTACTTTCAGTTGGTCTAATTGATTATTATGGAGGTAATAACATTACCCAAGATAAAATCGTAAGGGGAATTATCAAGCAGGGAAGAAGGACTGTAAGCTCAGAAGCTAAAGATTTTGAAATAGAGACCCATTTGATTCTCGAGTCTATTGCAGCAGAACTTCATGCCCTGTCATGGATGACTGTGAGCCCTGCTTACTTGGAGCGTCGAACTGCACTGCCTTTTCACTGTGATATGGTTTTAAGATTGAGAAGGTTGCTTCATTTTGCTGATAAAGAGCTTACACAGCAGGCAGATAAGTCACAAGTGTAGGATAGTCTGATAGCAGCACATCACACGCTTGTTCTCTTACTGCATTTCTCAATGAAAGGCGAATGTACAAGCTAGCTCTGTTGGTCATGCGAGACTGCTTTTATGCTTGGATGTCCAATAACATGTACATGTATTTATGTATTTAATAGTATCTCACTGATCAGTAGTTGTGCTTTTAGAATTTCCAGAAAGAAATCAGTCTAGGAAGAGAGATAGTTAGGCCTAACTTATGTAGTTACAGTTATCAGATTACAGAAATGTTAATGAGCCTTGTTGGAAAGCTCTATTTTACTCTAATCACTGTGATTAGTAGATTCGCCCATTTTTAAGAGATCTTGTATCATCCAATTTTGTTACTCAATTCTTTCATAGATGTTTGTAAGAACTACAATAATCCTTTTCAGAATCGGCGATGGGTAATCTTATCAGGTGATTATTTAGAGGTCAGAGAACCTCACATTTTCGCCGAATTTGTACTTGATGCTCCTTTGATGGATAGGTTTTTTTTGAAAATGATATTGAAGACCTGAAACAGTCTTCGGTTCCGAGATTATGTCTATGCATGATTGACTTGTCGATCAGTGGAATCACCCCTTTTATGCCTAACATGTGAATCATATTTTGTGAGTGTAGCTGAAGCAGAGCCAGCCATGATTCAGATCACATTATTCTTCAAGGCTAGGGTCCATCTGAGCTTAAATCCAACAAAATATCAGGTACTCATTTTCGAAACACCTTTTCGTAATTAGCCTAATAAAGATGGTAGTTTACTTTAGTTTGAAGATTAATGATGTTGGTCACCAACTGGGTTCATTTTCCAAGTAAGCCTCCTAGTTTCTACTAAAGATGAAGAAGAGAGTAATTAGGAGGAGAAAAAGTACAGGGACATGGGGAAGCAAAGGAACATGAATGACATTGATTTCTGGGTCCCATACAAGTCTTGGAGTATAGGCAAAGGTTACTTCAACCAACTCTTTCTTTGCTGTTCCTGCGGTATTTTCTGCCTTTGATGGGGGCCATGTGCAAAGCATATGATGTGATTTGGCAGGTGTCTGTTTTTGTTTAGTTATTCATATGGAAACAAACTAGAAGAAATATCCTCTTTGATTAGTACATGTGGTGGTTAGAGTCTATAGAAAAATGAGTTAAATCCCTGAGGTTTAGTGTAAGTAACGTTAGAATCTGAAAGGAACACTTGGGTCTTCATCAGTTAACAAAAAATACCCCTAATCTTGTCTTATATTAAAAACAAATAGAATTACAACAATTAGGGGTATTTTAGACTTTTGGAAAAATCTTTAAATAGTTGATGACTAGTAAGGATCTAAGTGTTACTTTCAGATTCTATTGGACCTAGATCAGATGATCAAACCTGAGGCACCATGATGTAATTAATTAAATCAAAGAATAATAATTTTGAAGGTTCATTGATTGAGGTAATCAGTGACCTAAAGAAATACAAAAGCTAAATTTAAAAGGGATTATGGTTCTATTTAGGAACAATTATTAAAGGGAATGAGAGGGCCCACGTTACCTTCCTAGACCCATTAAACATGTGTTTGTTAAAAAGTTTACATCACTACTGGTTTAACCTCTGATTCTTCTACTCAATTCAAGCCTTAATTATTCTCTAGATTTTTGTTTTAACAATAAATATGAAAACAATATTAGGGTATATTGTGGAAATGCTTTAATAATACATATATGATCAATTATTCAATTCTTTTGTTATATTTATTTTTTGATACACATGAACCTCGTGAGGTTTGATTAAATAACAAAATCTTATTGAGGTTTCTGTCTCTTACTACTAGTTAATCATTAAGAAATAGAAACTTAACAGTAGAGGAATTTGTCATTAATTTTCTTTTATATTTTAACTATCGATCACAAAATTGTATTTGTAGTGGTAAAAATTTATATTGGAAGACGATCTCGATCCACAATTTGTTGCAAAGGTTAAGTGCAGTTGTTCAACCATCTTTATCTTCTTCTAATATTATATTTCCAAAAATGGAACATCAATAGAAATGAAATCACAGATTTAAAGGTGGCTGGCTAAAAGCTTTAACCAACTATTAATGTGATTGCTCCAAAGAAAAATAAACAAACGGGTTCCACTTACTGTTGGTAGTTTATTGATAAAGCAAATGAACAAAAATCTTCTAGTCACGATCACATCACATGGCCAGCAAAGGCAATTCTGATGATGTGGTACAGAATATCTTCTTCTTCTTCTTCTTCTTCTTCTTCTTCTACTTATGTGATTGTGCTGCATCCTTACCAATAATAATAATTTAAGCCACTACCCATTGGACCACACACTCTTTACAAAATCTTGCCTGCCTAAATCCTAGCACATTTCATACAGTTTCCGGGCCCCTGTCACATGTTGAGGTGCTCCTTTGATGCCTGTGATTTCAAGGCGAAAAAATACCACCACACACACAACACAAAACAATGAGATCCCCTTGGAAAAATACTATTGAAAATTATATTGTTTTTGCCAAAGTAAAATGATGGTAATTTCATCAAATTTCAAGGCCCACTAAAGCTGTCTATTATCATCACTATCATGTTTATGATCACACACCTCCATGAGAACCTGCCAAAAACTACAGCTCATGTCTCAGAAGGAACCAATTTTCAATATGGGATAATGTAAATTATGCATAAAATGAAATTTATTTAAAACAATAAAATCCCAAATACAAATAAGAGAAGAAGAAGAAGAAGTTACAAGCATCAAATATTCCAATCCACCTCTAATATCTCCTTATTAGCCTAAATAACACAAATTCAATACATAAATTCATATATTAAGTCATATATAATACAATCAATCACACCCACATTAACATTAATATTAAAACTAATTCTCTCAAAAGAAATAAATAATAAAAAAAAAAAATTAAAAATCTCAACCCAAATTCCTCCATGACCCTCTATCTTCTCACTCTCTTTGTGTACTCATTCAACAACAAAATAGCATACAAAAGAGAGATGAGAAGAAACAAAAGAGACAAACCAACCCCATAATAACATAAACAATGGACTGTCTACATGGTTCCCCCCTCTTGAAGAAAGAAAAGCTATCTCAAACTGGCTCAAAAGAAGAACCCAAATGCCAAAGCCATGAAAGAGGCAATGAAAGTTGGCAAAAAAACAGCTGCATCAGAAGTTGGACTTGGAGCAGGAGCATCGGCAGCTTGCACTGAAGAGATGGCCACCACCATCATCAAAGCCGCCATCAACACCACAAGTAAATTCATTTTCATTGCCTCCATTGCTTCAAGTTGATGCAATTAAAAAGCTATAGAGACTCCAACCTTCTCTCTTAAACTGAATAAATGAATCAACTTTGTGGAAAGAAGTGGAATGGGAGGTGGGTTTATATAAAGAGTGTGGAATATGTGAGAGAGAGAGTGAGAGAGGGAGAGAGGTTTGGGAGTCTGTTTTCCCCCTGAGGTATCAATATATGACAAGTTACCCCCTTAGTTATCATAAATGACAATTTACTCCTGATTGTAGATCATTATTTCGGATACCTCACGGTTTGGACAAAATCTCAAAGTGAACGACCCTAATGGATTGTCCTACCGGTTTAGAAGGTTTGCTTTCTTATTGATTTACTGGAACTTGAGGTTATTTAACACAAATTTAATTTAAATTTGTGACTTTTTTAAAATATTAGATTTGTAAAATATTTAATAGGCGAAAGTGGCGATAAAAAAGAAAAAAGAAAATCTCAAAGTGAACGTTGGGAATGGGATGTTGCTTTGTCTGGGTTGGCATACAGCTGGCTTTGTGTCTTTGTGGGGTCCTTGCTGGTGTTGTCTTCTTAAATCTTAACTACTGTTTTGGTTTTTTATGTTCTCTTTTTTCTTTTTTTAATTTTTTAATTTCAGTTAACTTTTTGAGTCTTTTAGATGTGAGTTTTGTTTTTCTATTTCTTGCTTTTCCATTTATCAAAAACCCTTTGATAAAGGTATTTAATACTCTTTCAATAGTAGCAAATTCATTTCATGTTAAGTTATGTTAAAGAGGTAAATGAAATAAACCATTAATTTAAATTTAAGGCTTATAATTTTAATATTGAGATGTTATCTTTAAAAAATGGTCTAAAGTCCTAAAAGGGTTAATTTTAATGACTTTGTTTATCTCCTTTGTTTTTGCTTTTCATGATGTGCTTTTTGATGGGCATACTAACATGTTTCCATCTCAACTTAGAATAATTGGCAATGGGCAGGGCATGTTGTCTTTTCTTTCAAACCATAAATTCAAAAAGATAAATAATTGAACTCAATTAATATAAAAAATTTGAAGGTTGCAAATTGGAAATGCCTCTACAATGAGTAGATTAATATGCTTTAAACATTTCCACAAGTATTTTTGGTCTCTTTCATGCAATTTGTGAGAAAATTAGACAAGTTTCTTGTCACAAATTAAGCCAAGATGGTTAGGGCAAGGATTAGATTTTTATAAATTAAATGTTTTTGAGTAAAAAATTGAAGTGGGGTTTTCAAGAGTACTTAAGATGTCAATTAGCCGTTTACAATTTGGTTAGTCATTAAAAGGATTAATAAAACTTTGAAAGTGACAAACTACCAAAGTTTAGAAGCTTTGTAGAAACAACAATTAAACTTCAAAATCATGACTTTGCTTCATATAGGAAACCTTATAATCAATCGTAATCTAACATAAATATGAATTAAACTTCTTCAAAGAAAGGAAGACACGTATGCATATCATTATCAACTGATTTCTTTTACATGAAGAATGATCTAGGTAGCTTGATGATTCGTTTGAGACTCTTGAGTGTATTACTCAAGAGGTCATAAGTTTGAATCCTCACAATTACTAATAAGAGATAGTCATGGGAGACTTATCTGATTGTTAGCTTTAGAGTCTCAGAGGACTAATTGAGGTACGCATAAGTTGACCCAGACACCCTCGGTACCAAAAAAAAAAAAAATTTAATAAAAATAGTGAGCAATCAATAGTATCTTTTTAAGAAAGAAAAAAAAAGGGCTAAAACTCGAATTTGATTGAAAAAATGGCATATTTTGTTACTTATTTTTCTTATTTGGTTAGTGGCATTAATTTGTGTTTTTCTTTCTGTTAATGTGTTTCAACTTTGAAATCAATGAATTCCCAGCTGTATTTTTTAACTGAAAATGCAAATGACAACTAAACTTCAATATTATGACTTTGCTTCATATAGGAAACCTTATTAATGCACTAATTTGTTCACATAATGTAATCAAACGAAAATAATATTAAGTTCTTCGAGGAAAGAAAGAGATGTGTGCATATTATTATCAAGCGATTTCTTTTACATGAAGAATGATAGAAATGGTAAGTAATCGATGTTATCTTTTAGAGAAAACAAATGGTAAAAAACTCGAATATGATCGAAAAAATGGCATATTTTTGTTCTTATTTGGTTAGGAGCATTAATTTGTGTTGTTTTTTTCTGTTAATGTGTTTCAACTTTGAAATCAATGAATTCCCAGCTGTATTTTTTAACTTGAATTGCAATTGAAAGAGAAATGGTAGCTGGTTTTATTGATATGTGTTTGTGAGAGTGTACAAATGGATGGCTAGAAAATGTTGACTAATTTAGCCCAAAGTTTTGGTCCATTGTCTCCATCCAACTCAACTGTTTTTTTCCTTTAGAATTATTAATTTAAGAAGCCATCAGAGTTGGTTTCAACCTTAACAGCAACAAGGACAAGTTCATATTAAGGCCAAAGAGTTGATTTTAAAGCATGCCCCGCACTCATGAGTCATGAGTGGGGGCATGTATCTATCATAAAGGCTCTTTATTTTGAACTAATGGTGGGCATTGCTTTGTATGTATGTTCATTGATGGTTGTGATGGAATTTGAATGAGTCAAGAACCCACCAACTTGTACTGCAAAAAAAAAAAAAAAAAAAAATGGTGAGACCCTTTTTGCTTTGGGAGAAAAGTTGGGTGTTTTAACCATCAAAGTAAGAGCTTGAAAGAGCAATATTGCTGAAAAGTAGAAGTTGCTTCAAGAAGTATTCATAATTGTTTTCATGTTTTCTTTTACTTTAGTAGCTTCTAGGTCATATCAGATTGAAAATGGATTTAGTCTTAGATAGTTCACCAATAAAGTAGAGTAGTCTAAATAGAAAAACCAATTAAGGAACACATTTTTTCGTGAATTAAATGGATTATATCTTCAATTAACCAATGTTATCATATTTTGATCCTAACGACCGAGAGGTTGGCAACAAAGTAAACGGGTTTGTGTGAAGTTTAAATCGGACAATATCCATTCAGTTTAGGTTTGTCATATTCTTATCCTAACAAATGAGAGGTTGAGTAAGTTTATAAATATTAAGATTAGATGTTTCTGGATGTTATAAACATTGCATTGAAGACATCCAGGCTTAGAAATGAATAAGGTTTAGATGCTAATAAACATGATTAGGAACATTCTTTATGATTACCCTTCATTTATATCTTGGCAGAGAGGGTAGAAATATCATTGAGTGGGTTGCTCAACAGTTTGAAACATTTTCTTTGCTTCATATGTTTGGTTGGCTTTGGGATAACAGAATGGTCCTATGAGAATGATGGTTAGTAGCTTAAATAGAGAGAGTAGTTAATGTCTACATTATATTATCATGATTCTTATCACAAAATATAGAAAAATGGTCCCATACTATCATTCATTTAATTATAACATCAACAAAATTTGTAGAATATAAGATTGTATCATTTGTTGCTGCATTCATACTGCTTATTATTCCATATTCATGGAAGCTGTGTAATATTATGCAGGTGTTGCTTCTAAGATGTGTAGATTTAATATTGTACAGCAAGTTTTTCTCATGAAAAACTAATAAATTCTCTAGGTGAATTTGGACTTATGAACACATTATTATGAAAACATTCATAAATATCTTTTGTATGATAGATACATGTACATCTGATCAATCCAGGGTGTATATATAATTTCAAAACGTCCGCACCTAAGAATTTTTGTATATATATAAAAAAAAGAATATAAACTCTATTAGATTATAGTTCTTAAGATCATGATTGGCATAATATTATTGGAACCCCTTTGATTTACATACATAAATGAATTATCTGTGTGAGATGTGTATCATTTGTTGTTGCATTCATATTTGTTGATGCGTGATTTTAGACGCCAACTAACCGACACGTGCGTAACGTTGGTTGGTCAAGAGACACACGTGATTATGGGTAGAATGTAGAGTAAATGCAATAAGAGTCTTTTAAAGTGGTTCGGATGCTAAGGTAGCAAGTCCTACGTCCACTGATTTGTATTAATATAGTGGGTCAGGTCGCAACAGCGGACTGACTTACAAATGATTGGTAGAAAGTAAATACAAAGTTATCAGAGAGAGAGAGAGCTAATTCTGAGTGTAAAATAGCCGAATCCCCTTAATGAAGGGGTCTTCCTCTTTTTATAGTGAGGTGAGTGCAAGTAATCATCATTAAATCCATGGGTTGGTGTGAATGTCAGGATTAAATCCGGCTTTATGTCACGTTTCCCACCTTCCAAACTGATTTCACGCTATTTGGAGCAGGGAGGTGGACACGTGTGAGCTCCGTAGCTTTTGGCAGGCCTGACGTGTGCTTACCGTTCTGACGGGAGCAGGTCACCACACCCCCCCCCCCCCCCCCCAACCCCCACCATGTGATTTCCTACGTCAGCCCTTGATTTCCCAGGCGTAACAGAAGTCCCCTAGTTTTTAAGGTTTGAGGATCAAACCTTGGAAACTAAGTCATACCGCAATTGGAGGTTCTGATAATTTCGACCTGAATGGAAAAAGCTCGGGACAGGGCCTTTTGCGAACACATCCTCGCACAAACCTCGCCCGAACGACCTGAAAATCATCACCCAAGCGACCTGGCTTCATCGGGCGCTCCTTACTGCTTTAGAGATGAGGACTAAATGAGGTCGTCTCTGCGCTGACAGGCGCTCTGCGCGTGTCAGGCGTCTGCCAGGCGCATTAAATGTGTTGCGTGCTGAACCGGCGTTGCTTTGACAGAGCATTAATTGCACAACATATTCGAAACGACAACCCTTATCATAACATTGAATGCGACGTGGGGCGCATTTAATGTGGAGAGAGAGAAGTGCATCGTTTCGATTCCGAGGGGTGGTAACTGTCGATTCATAGTCCATAAAAAAGCCAAACTTTTTTCAGATGATGCCACCAGAACCCTTTTTGCCTCGAGTGAAAGACCTTTGCAAACCGGAAGTTCTTCTTTTCCGATTAGCATCTCTCCGATATCCGAAACAAGAACTATCCTCGGTCACGCGCCCCAGAAGGTAAGGTCTCTTCTTTTTTCTTCCCTTTTTTTTTTATTTGGGGGGTGCAACAGTGTTGGGTCT